GTAGGGATGAGCACGACAGTGCAGGTGAGCATGAAGGATGGACAAGCTTCGGGGATTTTAGATTGGGAACACAACAAAACACTAACACTCAGGGATTTGAGAATAGTCAGACGCCTGCTAATATCGATGATTCGTTTTTAGATTGAATCAATGAATTGTTAAACAAATTCAATCAATGGCACCAGCGTGACCAAGAAGAACAATAACGTCGTCTATCATTTTATTTTTAGATCATATGTTACTAATTTTATGCTTTATTATAGTCCATGTATGTTGATATACTTATTCCATGATAATTCTATGTTTATCCTTTTGTGTGATGTAAATTAAATGCTGAATGGCGGTTCATGCAAGGAAAGAACATATCAATATTCACATATTCATTCAAAAACATGAAAATTCTTAATGGAGTACCATCATTTCTTATTGAATTCCTAAAAAACAATATTTATAATGAATTTTAATAATTTTTTGGGATTTTTTTTAAGCTTTATTCTGACCAATTCACCCGATTCCCGATTCGGATCGCCAATTCGTCGATCCGGATCGGTTTTTTGGGTGCCCGATCCAGGTCACCGATCCGTTTTTTAAACCATTGGTTAAAACTATTGCGATATTTATGTTATGAACCCTGAACCAACGTTAAATATCTAGTGAAGTATGACTTGATTGAAGCTATAACCCTTGATAGAGCATAATGATAAAATAGAATTCGTGCAACCGATCTCACATCGGGATAAGACTCTTATGAAGATGATGATTTGAACTTTTAATGTTGTTTATAATTTACTTTTTATTGTTTGCTTCATTATTTTAATGGTGCGGTTTGTAGAAGACCGAGGCTTTAACCAATCAAAGTAAAGCACACCTTCAAATATTGTCGAGAATTGTGGTTTCAATATTGGAAATCTTTGCAATAGTTTTAAAATATATTTTCACTTTTAATTATAAAATTTAAAGATTAAAAAATAATGTAGATCGGGCAGATCTATGAAATATTGAAAATTGACGATAAAAAAATACATTACAAGATGTACTATTTTTAAAACTTGAAAATCATTTTTTTTCATGTCCATACATTATGATGTTAGATGATCAATTTGACGATATCTGAACATCAAAGCAACCACCGCTATTGAAATTTTTTAGGTGTGCCATAATTTGATAGGTTGGAGTCTCGTACTTCTATAAACTTTTTTTTTTAATAATTTTTTATACATTTTTTTTTTTCAAGTTTTAGCTCTTTTGAGCCCGCATATTATTCCGGCGACTCGATTCCTCAGAGTTACCCAAACTCGAACCGAGTAAATGAACGTTGTTGTACTGGTTTATGCAGAAGGTAAACATTTTACAAACCAAATGGTTGCATCTGCAAGTTGAACTTCTCGGGTACCTCTGATAATCTCTCACTGACAGAAGCCGGACTCTGTGTTCTAATTTGTTATCTCTCTCCATGTGAACCAGACGACCTAGACAGAGAAAGGATGAACCTGCAACCTGTATTTCTCTCTAAACCCCAATGCCCCAATCTCCAACTCACCAAGCCATCCTCCTTCTCTCTCTATGCACCCACCCGCACCACCTGGGCCCTGTCCACGCCCACTTGGTCAAGACCGCGCTCTCTCGAACCCCCACCTCCATTGCCAAACTCCTTCGCTTTTTCTATCTCTACCCCAATCTCGATATCACCTATGCTCTCTCTATCTTCCATAGCGTCCCTAACCCCACCACTTTCTCTCTCAACACCATTATCAGAGCGTTTACCCAGAGCTCAAACCCGATTGAAGCGACCAAATTCTATGCTCAAATGCACAGTAACGGCATTCGACCTGATACCCACACCTTCCCCTTTGTTCTCAAGGCCTGTGCTCTTATGCGAGAGCTCGATCTGGGAAGAAGCATTCATTGTCAAGCTGTGACAACAGGGTTGAGCTCTGATATATTTGTTCAAAACACTCTGATTCACATGTATTCGAGCTCTGGTTCTCTCGTTTTTGCTCAAAAGGTGTTTGATGGAATGGACGAGAGGGATGCTGTCTCTTATAATGCTATGATTGCATGTTTTGTTAGAACTGGAGGGATGGATTTCGCTAGGAAGTTGTTCGATGAAATGCCTGAGAGAAATGTGGTGTCGTGGGGCACAGTTTTGGCTGGCTATGCCCAGGTGGGTCAGAGTGAAGAAGCATTGGAATTGTTTGATTCCATGCTCCATAGTGGTTTTAGGCCTGACAATGTCGCTTTGGTCACTGCATTATCGGCTTGTGCTCAATTGGGTGCACTAGAGAAGGGTAAAATGGTCCATGATTATGTTAAGAGGACTGACATTCGGTTGGATGTGTATCTTGCGACGGGTTTGATTGACATGTATGCCAAATGTGGGTGTATAGAAAGCGCGAGAGCGATCTTTGATGCGAGCTCTGAGAGGAATGATGCAACATGGAATGCGATGATAGTCGGGCTGGCCATGCATGGACATGGAGAGCTCGCTCTTGAGTTTTTCGACAAGATGCAAAAGGCTGGTGAGTAGTCAGAAATCTCTCTCACTATCTGGTTTTTAAAGTGTAGTTGGAATTTGGAGATTCCTCTTAATGGTTCTCTTGATTGTTTGCTATTTTCTGACAATGGGAGGTTGGGTTTCTTGGGCTTTTAATGTTTTTCAACATATTTTTCTAGGATTACTAAGCTTCTCTCACGGGGGTTGTATGATGAGCTCTCTTGTACTTTGCCATTGATTTTTGTGGGCACATAATTGCCTCTGCCCTTTGTTGGAAATCACTGCTACGTAGAAGGGCCTTTTGTCATTGCAAGAATATTGATGAAATTAAAGGATTAAGTGACAAGTTACATCAATGGCAATGAGAGGAGCCCTTATCAGCACTAATACAACAGAAGCTAATCTGGCCAAATAACAATTTCTAGTGGAGGGCAGATGCCTTTAAGCTTTATGTGAGAAAATATTTGGTGAACATCCATGGTGATTGTTACTAAACTCGTTTAATATTTATTTCTTGTTTGAACTTTGAACCATTTACAATTGGAAAAGTATTTGGTGAATTGTCCAACTCGCGCATCCACCCTGGTTTTCAAGGGATTTAGTACCCTTAACACATTCCATATCACTGCAAATCCATTGTGGTCTCAGATTGATGGATTTGGAGCTCCTAAAACAGTGGAACACTGATGATCTTTGAATAAGTTGAAATAAACGGTTCGAAAAGGAAGGTACAGAGTGGACACCTTTAAGACTTAAAACTCATTTTTTTTTTTCGAATTCATGGTCATGGTGGTGGAGATGATAGACCTGTTAAATTTTGACTTGAAAAGATGGATTTTGGATTAGTGGGCTCACTTTAACAGGTACATCCCCAATTCCCTAACACACCCAATCCCTATCCTGTACTATTTTGGTTTGCATTTCTTATATATGTAGTCTTTGCTTCCTGTTTGAACTATCTAAATTTTGTGCCTGTGCCTCAGGTGTAAAGCCCGATGGGATAACCTTTGTCGGGGTCCTAACAGCATGCACGCATGCTGGACTAGTGAACTTGGGTCGAACCTACTTCAACACAATGGAACCTAAATACGAAGTGGTTCGTGAGCTTAAGCACTATGGATGCATGGCTGACCTTTTGGGCCGGGCCGGCCTCTTAGATGAAATCCACGATATGATCAAGCACATGCCCAAGAAGCCTGATGTATTTGTCTGGGGTGGTTTACTTGGTGGTTGTCGAATTCATAACAATGTAAAGTTGGCAGAGATTGCAGTGGAGCATATGCTAGAATTAGACCCTGACGATAGTGGTATATACTCAATAATGGCTAATATTTATGCTTCGGCTCGACAATGGGATGATGTTGCGAAAATAAGAAAGAGAATGTATGGGAAGAGGGTGAGGAAGATGGCTGGTTTTAGCTTGATAGAGGTAGGTGGATGTAGCCATGAGTTTGTGGCCGGAGACAGACTACATCCTGATATAGATGAGATATATGAGGTTTTGGATGGGATGAGGAAACAGTTGAAGGGTTGCTGGTTTTTTTGTTGATTGTAGTTTGTGTTAGAGAATTTTGGCTTTGAAGATGAGGAAGAAGGCCTTTTAAGCGCCAATGGGAAATGAAAGGGCCTCTCGGATTATACAGCTTGTAGGCCCTGCTCCATAACAAACAAATCTTATATTAATCAAGAAGAATGACTTCCACACATAATTTATGTATTGAATAATGACTTGCAAGGCGTTAGCTTCTGATTCACATGTCCGATTCAATCCGTTCCCTAATCAAACCAGGCTAATTTAACCAAAAAAATTAAAAGAAGAACTGGGAAACCAGGAGACTCGTGACCCGGGTGATCCTGAGGTTTTTTGGCCCAAAATCACTGGCCACCATATAATCAGATAGGTGATTTTTGAATATTCATGACTGTTTTCTCCGGAGGAGGGTTGTGTTAGGTTGGTGGCTAATGTAAAACTTTTGTCACATCTATTTTAGGAATTTTAAACCAATGTGGTTCAAGTGAAGGGCTCTAAAAGAGCACGAGCAAAAGAATATGGATGGATGTTGTAAAAAGATATATAGTGACTTATGGTCTGATTGACGGTAGGATCCTTGATAGAGATGAATGGCAAAACATGATTCATGTAGTCAATTTCAAATTGTTGGGAATTTAAAATAAAGCTTAGATAATGATGATGATGGTTATTATTATTATTGATGAATCTCAACTCAACAAACTACATTTTTTTTTTCATAGCTCTAACATTCAGGTCAATCCAAGAGGTTAAAACTCCTCATAATAACGCGAAATTCATTATCGATGAAGGAAAAAAAATTTGGTGCACCATTTAAAAATGGTTGCGGTTTGTATAGAGCCTAGGTTCGAAACAATCAAATTAGAGCCTACCTTCAAATAGTGCCTTAAAATATATTTTCATCTTTATTTATAAAGTTTAAAGCTTAAAAAATAGTGTAGATTGACATATCTATAAAAACATGAAAACCTTGAAAATTAACGGTCTGAAATTGCGTTACAAAATACGTTATTTCGAAAACTTAAAATTCAATTTTTTTCTCATGTCCATGCATCTTGATGTCGAGATGATCAATTTGATGATATTTGAGCATCAAAACAACCTCTTCTAGTGAAATTTTTGAAGTAGGCTCCAATTTGATGGTTTAGAGTCTCACCTTTATATAAATTTTTCCCTTTAAAAATACATCTATACTTTAGATTTTATATAAAAAATAAAATAAAAATAAAAGGAGGAATTATTTTGTGACTGTTGAATGAGAGTAGGTTCAATCTAACGCCCTTTTCAAGCATCGACATCATGTGCATGTTTTACCATCTCTTTTATTATTTATTCATTTTATTTTATTTTTTAAAATTAATTGTTATGTTAACGATACTCCACCAGACATTTGGTGTACTGAAAATACCATAAATAATTCAATCCGCACCCCGAAATTTGTGTTCTTAACTATACCCATAGGCAAGGAGTTTTGAGGGGCAGACTTTTGGTGTCCTTAAAATGCACATGGGCAGAGTATTTGTCCAAATGAAGGGGACTGAGGCCAAGCTCCCGCGGGAGCAAAAAGTATGTTGGTTCTGAATGTCTAAAAGCATCCCACTTACGTGTTTGATTTGTATAAGATTTTCTTCTAGAAAAGCTTATGACTTTTAACTCTTAGTTTCCCATTGGTGTTATAAAGAAGGAAAAAGTTTATATAAGGTGCGAACTTTATAGTGTAGATAAGGTGTACCCAAAAAATTAATGGAGAAGGTTTTTTTTTATACTGTAAAACCCTCAAATCGATTATCTCGACCTTAAGATTTGTAGATATGAAAAAAAGAGAATTTTTAGTCTTAAAAATAAGTTCATCTTCTAACTCATTAGGACAGTCTATTTTCAATATTTTAAAGTATTCATAGATATGCTTGATTGTCACCATTTCTGGAACTTTAAATTTTATATTTGGTGGCAGCAATAAATTTTCATATCATCACAAAACTTTGTAATGCTGAAATTTCATTTTCGACATAGTTTTAAGGTGCACCTTACTTCAATAGTATAAGGTTGACACCTTATACAAACCTCACCCTAAAAAAAGCCTACCCCAAAATTTAGCATTTTCTGTATATATATTTTTGGCACGAGATGCGGCGGACTTGCTTATACGTGTCCACACCAACGAGTAAGAAGCAGCTCCTAAAACGCCATTGATAGTCTTAGTATATATTAGCAGCGTTCAAGGACTCGGCGGCCTACTGAGCGTAGGGGTGGCAATTGACCCGACGAGTACACCCGAACTGGAATCGAGTATGGGTTCAAAAATTGGTGGGCCAAGCCCAACTCCGGGTCCGGTCATATTTTTTAGGTCCACATATATATATATATATTTGGGTAAGGTCCAGGTCCAGTCGGACCGGACCGGACCCGTTGCCACCCTTAGCGGAGCGGAGTAAGTGAATAGAGCTGAGGAGTAGGTAAAACTTTAGATATTCAAAAAGGAGAATAATTTCATACCACGGTTCTATAGTAATACAATGAAACAATATTTAAAAAGCATGTTAGGGTCATTTGTTTGAGCTCAATTTTTAAATATACATTTTAATGAATAATAAAAAAAGTAAAATTTGAAAACATATCATATAAAGTGTTTTTTTAGCCTAAAAAATATAGGTTGTCTATTTTAGTTAAATGTTTAAATCTAGCCTTTAGAAAGATTTTCTTTTCTTTCCAAATTTGTTAGATAGTTATAGTATCATTAGATTAACAATGTTAAAAAAGAAAAAATTGATTTTAAATTCGTAAAGGCTTTGTTCTTGAAATTTGCCAAATGGATAGTACAAATTTCTTTGTTGGAAGGGGCTCATTTTGACCATATCTAGGGTATAAATTGTATTTTATTTTTTTTTAGATTGATTATTGAGTTAAAAAGAATGCGTGTACAAAGTTTGGGTTCACACAAATGCCACAAACATAGTTTTCTAAAAGTGTACTTTCATTATATTACAAGACACGAGCGACATGAAATCATTCCCCTTCAAAAAAAGGGTGTGGTTTATATAAGGTTGCAACATTAAACAATCAAATTAAAGTGCACCTCTAAATCCCATTATTTGGCGTAAATAAATCTTAGGATGGCTTGATAATCTATTTTCATCTCTAATTATAAAATATTAAACTCCAAAATGATTCAAATCAAATTGATGTATGGACCACTTGAAAATCATGAAAATGTAGTGTTCACTTTAATGAACTTGCCTGTTCAGTATTTCAATCCCCGCAATTTCCTATCGGTTTGCCCATCCGAATTGTCGGGACCGAATGACTTCTAGGATAGTATGGGTCTCATACCTGTTCTATCTTTTATTTTATTTTTTAAAATTTATCTAATATTTTTTTAAGTCCCCATAAATCCTTACTCTATAAACTTTTATTTGGTTTTTTTATTTTATTTTATGTATTTTTAATATTTTTTTGATCACCGGTTCGGATTGCTTTAGACCTTATCGTGATCCCCAATCTAATGATTTGAAACAAATATGTAGGCAAACGATTTGCCCGTCTCGGGGAGTGGCCTAATGGTTTCCTACTCCTTGTGGTTTTCTCCTTTGGACAAACGAATTGAGCCGTATTTTTTTAGTTTGGGGCCAATTCGAGCTATTTCATTCCCAAATTTGAGCTCTATACTTATTCTTTTCATGATCTTTTAAACCTATGAAATGGTCTTTTTTTTTTTTTTAATCCAACCTTTAATTTTTCAAGATCGAAAGAATATGAGATTAAGGTTTTTTTCTTGAGTATATCCTCAACTGATTATATGATGGACGAGTATATGCTAACATTCTTTAGTTTTTTTAAAGAATTTAAGTATTTTTTTTTTGTTCTTCATTAGGAGAGAATCGCCCGAGGTGGTCCACGCATCTCGGCCCGTATCGGGTCCAACTAAAGAGCAAGTACGGTTTTCAACGCAATGTTCAAATATTCGACCTGGTAGTCAAAGTTGGCCCCTTACTTTCGAGTAATTGGGAAAACTCACATCATTTGAACAAAT